ATCTATTCGATTAAATGTGGGGAACTGGGTGTCCCCAAGACTGCATAGATTCCATAGTTATGGATAGTGCTATATTTCCAGTACACTTTAAGTTCAGTCGGCTCCATTTGTATGCTTTCGACTGTTTCCATTCCAGTTGGCACAAGCGCTTTCAAAAGCTTGCCCATTCTAACTGCGGTCAAAGTCCCCCAATACACACAAAAATGGGCTCATTTGGACGCGTCGCTTGGTCTTTGACTGAAGCAGGTAGTGGCTGGAGTATAGCAAGGGATCCGGACACTGGTTCTTTGGGTGCAGGTTTTGATTGCTGGCAAACATTATAAAACGATATTTCTAACCGACGAAATACCTACCTAAACAAGGAATGATAATATCGCTACCGGTGACGTTCCGATTTCAATGCTAGCTTAATATACTGCTTCGTTTAGGAAATTAAGCCTTATGAGTTACACAAAGATTTCAACAGGTTTCCAATGAAGGCTATACGTGCTAAATTTGAACTCAGTGATTTTCATTGCCTGTTTCAACAGAACCAGTACTTTGGGCAACTGCACATCAACTATAAACAAAATCCTGCAGGTATTTTGTGCTTTGATATGCTCACAAAATTTGTCTACCTGGATTCACGTCGCTGCAACATTTGCCACTGCTACTGATCAAGCCTAGAGTTTGCAAGTAAATACTATTCGATTAAAAAACAACAGATAACTAAGGATATAAGTATTACATTATAAGATACTGTATCTACGTAAATCATTCTGCTAAGTCCATCCGTTCGCTGCCCGCCGACTGTTCTCGGACGGAGACACGTGGTGTGACGTTGTAGCGTTTGGATTATTCTCAGGAGAGTGTGTGAACTGGTTGTCGAGGCTGAGAAGTGAGGAGGATTTTTAAATAACTTTTTTGGCAAATCCAAGAACCTTGGGTGGTGATGGGGACCCAGGCCCTCGCGGATCTGCTCAGAAGGTTCACGGGCAGCACTGGTCTTGAATTTGATTACCCACGAATCATTTTTTAATACCTTCGTTTTGGTTCAAGTTAACATTTGGACACATCATGCATAGCGGGCAAACAAACAGTTATGTCCATTTGATCGTACTGCATTGCGACCACCTCTCGTGCTGTCTGATCCTACGGGTTAGAATAAAGTATCAGTCTGTATAGCAGCTGCTAATGGTCGCGAGCATACGCAAGTAATCCACTTTGACTGATGCAGAAAAAGTTAAGCTCGACTCATACTTTTATTGCTGACGTGCTTTTGAGTGACAAAAGGGATGTTGCTGTTGTGATTGACTCATACGTCAAGATGAAGAGAATTAATAGTATTAGAGGATGCTAACATATTTGCGTCTGCGCATCCACCTACAACAACGTCAGCGATATGGGTTTAAATCAATGCCGTCGATGTGCAATCAACTTTTACAAATTAACATTTTTAATGTGGAAGAATCTTCAGCAAATTTAAATGAACCTCTGTGATCCATGAGAACAAAGAAATAGAATAACATTTTATCACTTCTCCTGTCTAATAATCAACACTGATTCATAAAATATTCGTCAATCACACAAATTCAAACTAGGATGCCTCGTTTAAAGTGGAAAAAGGAGTGGTAGACGAGGTGTCGGATGTTGATGGCAGAAAAGCATGCAAGCACTAATTTTCCATAACCGCACTAATGCAAAAAAAGCAACGCAGGACCTATCAGAAGGGCATTTGTTCTGGGATTCCCTGGGTATTCGCAAAACATGCGATTATGAGTACTCTTGCTAACTGCTACAGGTCGCTGGCCCAAATGGACAGGCCCATTCTATTTCTTAAGTCGTGTTTTATTAACTGTGTAACGGTGTGACTTTGCAGCTCCCGAGCGGAATACAATGACCGATTTGTTATTACGGCAGCGTAGAGCATCTTCTGAACTTGCTCTGTCAATTTTTTTATAAATTTAAACACAGAGGCATGAGGTAACAGCGGAAGCTTCAACTCACAAGCTCCTATCAATAACCCTTCATTGCCGTTGTGACCCACGGTGATGCAATGCTGCAGCGCCATACGCCAGCAAGCAACGACATCTCTTTTATGAGTAAAATTTACTATAAGTCATCATGTAATTGTTTTAAAGCTTGAGATTTTGAAAGCTATCGCCATTAGTGGTGGAAAAAAGCTAAATTCGTGTTAATCAGGCTAAAAGACTAGGCTTTATTCCAAGCAGCTCAATGCACCCCCAACCGTCCCTGTGATGTGGGTTCATGCACGCATTTTGCGCTATTGCAAAATAAGTTAAGCTCTAGTTTGAATGAATACCGTAACTTCAGGAAGTCACACACACACCTACTGGCGAAGTGATCCAAAATATTTGCGTCTGTCACACACACTGACGTCACCTACTCAGGGCTCAAAACAAATTCACCCGCCCCCACACATCCACGCGGCGTCCCACCGATTTCTGGCGTTGAGATGTCGTCACCCCCCCGACCCTAAGCTCCTCGATAAATGCACGCTTCACCTTTTAAACTTGATTAAGTTGTCGTGCAGCATTGTAGGTGACACTTGCTGGCTCTTCTCGTTGGAGGACCAATTACTAATAGACCAAGTAATCTTTACTAAGCCTGTTAACAGCATCTTAGCAAGAACTAGGAAACAGAATTTTGAAGGTTTAAACAAGCAGACCCTCATCCAATCATCACTATCGTACTTTCAAAAATTCAAGCAGGCAGTTATGCCGTACGAGGAAAATGGACTCCTGGAACTGCTTCCGATATTTTATGCTCTATCTAATAGTACTAAATCAGTAAGCATCTAAGGTCAGATTTACGGTAAATACCTGTGGTAGCTGTTAAGAATAGTCAGCAAAGTGATTCCAACTGATGTGCCTTTTTGAGAGCTCGCGCTTCAAAACGTATTCAATCGTGGATTCATTTTCAACCAGTTGTGTTTTCATTTCGCACGCAAGATTTGCTAACTATGCAGAATGTCATGAGCCAATTTAATTAGGATAGTGAGGTCGATTGTTAAAAAAAGGTTATGAAATGATGGAAAAACACATCTGATTGGAGAGCCAACTGGTTTCCTGGCTTTGTCAGAGGATGCCAACCACGATAGTTGCTGGAGTAAATTACTCAGTACATTTCGACTCCCTCATGCTCCATGATTTGATCCACCTGGTTGGGATTCTGCTAACAAATTAGCAACAGCAAGGTTGAGAAGGCGCATCCAGAAGTGGATCTACATCGCGCACACCTGCACCTCGATCAACCTGTTTCCTGACTCTACTCACCTCTTACCAGCGATGAAACCTAGGGCAGTACTAGTGACGCTTCGAGAGTCCAACTCATTAAGTGATGCAACCAAACAGTTCAAACGGTTTCCTCCGATGTTGATTCCTTGTCTCGCGCGTTTACTAGGAGGACTCGCTCGCTGGCTACTGTACTGAATCGTGCTGATTCGTATCCATTAATCAGGTCGCCGCATTTTCCACCACACTGACCTCCTTTTCACGACGACCCTGTCGATCACGCGAGACCGTCGGCTTACACACTTCCCGTCGCATTCATCTGGCCCTTCACCCAGACTGCATTAACAACCCCATTCAGTAAGACACTTTTATGCCCAGTGGCGCCACACTTACAACTAGGCCGAGCTGTCTAGTAAACGGCTGACTCTGCTAGCCCTGGTCTTCTTCCGTCTTCTCGAATATCTGAGTGGCGTTAAAGGGTCTAATTTAACACAGCTGCCCCGACGTCGTTTGAGACCACATGCCGGGGCCTCTAACACCGCCAGCAGGACCTTGATACGGGGAGAGCCCGACGCAGAACCAACCCCAACTGGCACCAACACCCAGGGCGACCCACGTTGCCCCCCCACCAGAAACAAGCCACTTTGGTCAATTTAAGCCAGGCTCGAAGAGTTGGTTATTGCTTTTAAATAGGGCAACGAATGATTAACACTATAATCAACTCGCTCCTTTCCCAAATACTGACACTTTGGAATCCGTCTTTCTGTGTAACTCTCTCAGCTTCCACTCTTTGGTGTGTCAGTCTTTACCTTCTAAAAGTCCAAATTCAGAACAGCTAAATTCAACTTCATTATAACAAGACACGACCTTTGTTCCACTGACGTCACAGTAACAATATCTCCGGAAATCGCTTAAGCAATGGAAAGAAACGGACGTGGACCCATTCCACACGTGAGCAACACTGCACCATAATTTTACGTCGAACTCCACTTTTTAACTTTCTTACGGTAAGTTTAAATGTTTTAAGGGTGCCATTCAGTAACCCTAACATTAAGTGCCAGAATTGATTGACCCAAACTTGTTTTGGAACGGTCCAGGAGCTCGGACAGGTGAAAATTAGACCAATGTTTAGCATCTCGACGACTAATAAAAGAACTTTCCTAAAATAGACCACGTGGTTGCTCGCAGTACAAGCAGCTTTTCCCCAGTACAGATACACCAACTGTTCTGTCCCAAACTTAAGGAACACAAAACGCTTTCGTACGGTTTATAGGAGATTCAATGAGACAGTACCCCTAGAGGCCCGATGTTTGATTAAAGGTGGCCTACAAACTTGTTCAACATAGAACTGGGAAGTTGGTTGAGTTGCAATAAGTGTCTAGTGGTGGTGCTGGTAGGCCTCAAACCTCAAGACACGGTGTGTGTGTGTGAAATCGCCAGACTGGCTCAGAGCAGTGGAACCCCACGTCTTGGCCAAGCGGGACTCCTTCATAAAATGCAGTTTTCAACATACAGCAAATTGAGATAATTCACGTCCATCACCCCGCTGCCTCTTCCTCTCAGCGTCCCTTTTGGTCATGTGGGCACGTCTCTGTGCCCACACTTTCTCTGTCAGGCTTGCAACGCATCCAATCACTTGCTAGTTTATTCGAATGCCATTGGCTGACAGCCGCCATCACCCATATCCCTATATGCCCGTACACAGGAATTTGTGCGCACGACAATACAACAAACGCAGCAGGGTTGTATACAAAATTATGCACAGCGTTACATGTCGTCATCCAGACAGCAGATGAAAGCGTCGTTGAATATGGCCTGTTCGGTGTTCATGCCTCCGTGTATAAACAGATAATTTCGCCATATCACTGGTCCTTCTAAACAAAAGCGTAGTATTACATTAAAGTGCTAATTACGATGTTGCAGAAAAAGATGGCACACACAATTAACCTTGCCAGCTGTTGTTCTTCTCGTCAGCCAATTCGTCGGATAGTGAATTAATGGAGAAAGTGGAGACAATGCGTTCGGGTTCCGGTTTGACATTTGGATTAAGGACCCTTAATTGGAGGGTTGTGAAGGCGAAGTCAAGGCGAGCTGCTGGGGGAACGCTCTGTCGCACCTCCACGGCAGTCCACTGCGACGAAACTGAAATAGGCAACACGATTTCACGACACTAGCAAGAGGAAAGCGAGTAAGGGACTGCGACCGTCTGACACGGCACTGGCCTGATTAGGGCGGGCTTCGAAATCATTTTCACCAGCGCCTCTGACCTTGGGAGCTTGCTTTGGAATCACGGCTGTCGCATGATTAAGCATGGCTCCCCAACTATGTACACCGAATAAACTGTTTCTACTTAGTACAAAAAGTAGAGCGAAAAACGCAGCTCCATAATGTGGCCAATGCAATAAGGAGCAAGACAATGGGGGTTGAAGTGAATGCCGCAAAGCGGAATTAACAAAACCTCCTTATAGATGAGGAATTTGCTTTGCGCTTAATTCGGAACAGGTCATGGATTCACGTTAATTATGGAATTGTTTGAATAAAGCATCATCCCTCTCAAATCTATTAAAAGTGAGTAAATTGACTGCAGTAGAGATGCCGCCAAATTATTTTTAAACTAGGATTTGCAAACACTCTTTTTTTTAACTCTGTGAACATGACCACATTAGATTTAATGCTGAACTGATTGGGATTAAATTTGCCTTTCGAACTGACGGCGCGATGACCGGCCACATACCCTCATCGAAGTAGTGCAAGTCGTTGAGGGCGCCGTGGGCGTTGACTCCGGCGAAAACGAAGACCCGGTGGCGGGGTCGCGCGCCCTCCCGCGGCGTGTGGAGCGGCGAGACAACGACGGCGCCCCCGTGACCCGCGCGGGGACTCGGCCGGCTCCCGCCCTCTCCGTTCGAGCCCGCCCCGCCAATCACGTTGTGCCACGTGCCGGCCACCTGTGGCTCGCCTCCCTCTTCTGACTAAAACCACAAACCTGCAACCAAAAGTCTCCTTCTACAAAAACAGGCAACGCTATCGACATCACTACAGCCCCATGGATGACAAAAATTATCTGTATTTGGTCGGGCTCTCTAGTAAACGTTTGTCTCATGCCCTCCTTGGGTACTCGTGTCGTATAGGGCTACAGAAGGTTTTGTTAATATCAAAATGTATGTACTCAGTTACAGGAATTATAAATAACGAGTTGTTGATAAAAGTATCAGTATGGTTAACACAGGAGAAGAGCTTAACTTTACTAACGCTTAAGTTCATTTAACTTAAACCCAGTTCAATTACCAGAGATTTGCCTAAAATAAACAGAAAAATACGATGTGCACTCGATTCTGAATTGGAGACATGCTGACAGAATCGCCGCAAAGTGCTCTTACCCGTTCAATCTCCAGCCGGAAGAAGTCGTCGAAAAATGTCATCTCGGCCATGCCACCGTGGACGTAGAAGGTGGAAGTCGAGCCATGCAAGTGCGAATGATCGCCAGGCTGGTACAGCATCAGATGGCCCATTCGATTGGAAGGCGGGTCGTCGCCTTTGGTTGGCAGAGCACTCCAGAGCCTCTCCCTTATGCGGTACAAGTGGACCTAAATTGTACGCACCGATTACCACCAATAGCTAAGTGTTTCAAGGCCAAGCCGTACACAATGAGAAGGCAGCTATAGCAGTCAATGGGAATTTATATGAATTGCAGATTTGACGCAAAATGGGACCCAATACCTCCGAGAAGCAAACTACGAAAGTTCTAATGGATCGTAACTCGGGCGTTTGAAAGCACTCGTAGAAAGACCAAATCGAGCGGCATGTGTGATCAAAGACAAAAAATTTAGACATGAAGAGCTGGCGATGAGACATTTAGACCCAAAACAAGTGTGGAACAGCCTTAAATTTGCTCATTGATTTCATTAATCTCGTACCATTAGTCTGCACATACTGCGATTTCGGGAAACAGGCAACACGACGATTCAAACGACTGCAACTTTACAGAACATTATTGGACACGTAGCGAATGACAGCGTTTTCAAGGACTAATTAAAAAGGGCTTGCCAAGTTACGTTAAGAGGGTGATTGACAAGGGAAGTGGGTAATCGCTACACTCCTCACAAACTCATCACCCATACGAAAGAGGCGATATTCTCTTTTGCTCTGTTCTGTCGCTGCCTTCGATTTTTTTCGTCTGCATTTAAAGAGAACCTAGTCTTTTATTTCTAGTCTAGCTGAATGTCGATCGTTCACGACCCACAATTTTGTAAAGGCACATTTATTTTACCGACACGTTAGTGAGAATGCGGACCATCAGACTCCCATTAGGCGGGACTTACGAACTGGAAGCAATGAATATGGCGCGATTCTGAGTGTGGCTACAGAGATATTTGACGTCATTAGACAAACTATCGACGAGCGATTTATTGATTGGTTAAGTAAGTTGGTGGATGAAGCGGCTTGGTGTCGACAGTGTGTGGGCGAGCATCCTGCGAAGAATCAGGGTTCCGGCTTCAATTATTGATTAATTTTTTGTGCTGTTTATTGTTTTTGCTCATGGTCACATTGATTTCTGCTGTAACAATAACCGAATGTTGACTTATCGAGGTGACATAGATGAAAGTGAACTCAGTTGATCACCAACACAAAACTGCAATAACTGCGCGATGGAAGTGTAATTTGAGGAGTCGACCCACACAAAGCATCGAGCCGGCCTTGGTAACCACCGACCTTTGCATCGTCGACCGGACAACTTCCCATACCGCCTCCAGAGAAGACTACGAGTTCGCCGAACTCGGTAAGACAGGCGGAGGTGTGCTGAGTTCGTGGGGAGATGCCTGAGGGGGTGGGTGTGACGCTGGACTGAGGGAAAATGCTCTCGGTTGGGTCGCCATAAGCGGGCAGGTTCTCAAGTCTTACTTCCGCGTGGATCACATCACCCTGGGGGTGTCCAGGCGTTGCCCCGCCAAAGGTCACCAACTGAAAGCAAAACAAAAGCAGGAATTTCGACTTGAAGCTGAAGGTGACGGGTTGGCAAAATCATCCGGTTCCACCGTTATTAATGGTAGCTGATGGGTGAATCCGTTTAACGATAACCTGATGCAGATGAGTGGTACGTTGGCAGCAGGAACTGCGTTTATTGTGTATCATACACAATGACAACATAACAGTTACCCACGCCTCAGTTATACTAAACTTTGTCGCTAGCTGCACCGACTCCTTAGATTTTACTGTCCAAAACTACTGACGTACATGAGTACTACAGTTTGTTTGTAATAGCTAGGCAGCGGGTTATGTAGTGCAAGTAATTTGAATAGTCGACAACAAAATAGCGATTGAAAATGTTAGAGAACTTGTTGCCGAAAACGGACTTACAGAACAAAAGGAGAGGCGCCTGGATACTTGTAAACAAGAATCCAGAGGGGAAAATGTACACAACCCAAAGATTTCTTTGAAAAAAAAAAGAACTTTGTCAGTGACGAGCAAAGGATTCAGCACTAGTAGGTAGATTCGACTATCATGTTAATGTTCACAAGGTTCGTGGGTTATAAATGCCATCGTTGGAAAGGTGTCCAACCCTGATAGGCGTAGTAAAGCACAAAGAGAAAAGCTAAAGACTGAAACCCAGAACAAAGAAGAATCGTAACATTCCGAGGGCTTTATGAGCTTGCGACCAGACCAACTTCCAAGGTGCTTCAACAAAGCCCACAGATAATGCCGAAAATTCAATTTGGATATTGAATGGACCAAGACAGCGGACTACTACCCAGAAGATGTAGCATCAAAGTGCAAAAGATATTTGGAAGGGGAATGAGGCACCATAGAAGTTGGAATTAGTGGTCTGGACAAATTGATCTTCTAAAACTAAACTTACCAACAGTTTGAGGCAAACACGGAAGTACGAACTTCCAACAATTGAAAAATCACTTCGGGGAACTGTGTGAGGTTCAAAGAGCTGGCATGACAACAGACGCTACCCGACTTAGCAGCACATATGGATGCTTAAAGGAAGTTTGCGTAATGACGGCGATCAGAAACGGACAGACGCTTGTTGATCGAACCACTACCGTGAGAAAGCATGTCACACGTTCCGTGTTCTTCCTGGACCTCAATACAGTTCGGAAACAAAAACTTGTTATGAGGAAGCGAAACCTCGAATGTCCAAGACTTGATGAGTTCCATTAAACGCTCTACGATGCAGACTAACTTAGCGCTGGGTGATACTGTCTTCAAAATCCAACTTACGTCTAAGTAGCTAATAGATGAGTCTTTTTAGATTAACGCTGACACATGCACAAAATTAAACGATGTTGCAACAGTCTGAGTTAAACTGTGACAATAGTGTACGGAAAACGATACCGTAATCTACTTCCTTGATGCCTCGGTTTAGCATCAAATAATTTTTTCGAAAGCGAAAGAGAAATTGGCTTTTATGCAAAAAATCGCTTATCAGTTAGGCGTGATCTAGAGCCAAGAGAAGAAGTCAGTTATTCCTACGGCATGTTTGAGAAGCTAGACATTACATTGAGGAGTTTAGTGGACACTGGCAAGTTAGGCCCAAGTAAGTGAAAAATATATTTTTGTCCAAAAATTTTTACAACAATTATTCCGAAGTACTAAGTCAAAAGCTAAATATGTCATGCTCCTTTACAAAGATCTGAGAATTCTTTAACAAAAAATTATGATTCTTTAAACAAAATTATGTTATTTGTGGTTAGCAAGCAAGGCTTGAAAACAGCATGTCAGGAAATTTACACGCTGCTCGTTTTTGTCGTATAGGCGCATTGGAACCTTGCTCAGGGCAAACAATTTGGGATAAGGCAGAGAGTGGAAAGTCTCAACAAACCTCTTTATCAGTTAGCACAGTAGCCTGTTCATAGCGCTCAAATCCAGGTACGAGTGTCGACTCAGGCATTCTGACTGGGAAAACTTGGCCTTTACGTATGTTGTAGAGAAGAGAGCTTTTGCAGCAGGAAGAACAGTTTGCACCACCCACAAGGAGTACCCAATCTGATTTCTCCCCAGTACACAGCTGGTGAGCAGTATGGCCGACTCGTGATGAGGCAATGTCTTTAGCAAAGTTCGATACATCACACTTGTGCCTTAAACAAAAATGATGAATGTCTAGACAGAACAAGTGGAACCTACTCAGTGGGTCACATACATACAATAGTTAGTTATGCTCATATTCTGCTCAAGGAAGCTTGTGAAATTTTGTCAAAGAAGCTAGTTTTAGGTTCTGTGTACCATGTAAGAATATTGGAACCACGAGTGGCACATTGCAACCTAAAGCGTTCTAGGACACTAAAATAGCTTATTTGATATAGCCCAAGACTAATAGACATTGCTCGAACAAAATAAATACATTTAATCAAGATGCTTTTTTTCAAATGCAAACAAAGTAACAAAGGCTTGAGTGGCAAATTCTGCAGTAAATTGAAAGCTTGACCTGTTTGTGTAAACTAAAAACTATTCTTTATTAAGTATACTTCAAGCCCAGCATTTAACGACTTATACATTTAGGCAAACATTCTTGGTTGTCATTTTAAAGCAAACAGCATTGAGGTTGCCCTAGGACGTTTTCTTGTGTCTAGAACACGTAAAACAGTCAAAAGAAACACAAATTTAGATTATAATGGTGCAATTTCGATTCATTTGTTCAATTTGTTCTGGCCCCATCCATAAAGTCAAATAAAAGTGCATAAAAGATAACGCCCCAAGAAAGAATTAAAGCCCATCGGGCATTTTAAAGTTGAGTTGATATACAATTAGACTGAACTCAATATAATCACAGCTCGTAATACTATAGACTTTAAAACAAACGAATGCGTTAAAATTATCAAAACAAATGTCCACGACTTAGTTTACTAGTAATATGCATTTTAAAACAGCCCCAAACTCTACTTCAATGGGAAAAACTGCAATTAAGTACAACACTACGACGGAATAAATCCGCGTCAGCGATTAATGCATTGTAGATGTATAGGCCAAGGATGCTATTTTACCGAAACAGGTCAGCGCAGAGCAGCATGTTAAGTGGATAAACTTAACGTCTTTACCATACTATAAAACCCACTATAAACTTCAAACCATCGATGAGCACAGATTTTTAAATTTGGAACATTAGTAACCGATGGTTTGATGGTAAATCAAATTATTACGAACTAGTGTTGGGCCAAAATGCATGGCATGTAATGTATTAAAAGTAAAAACGTAGAGTTCATTCCAACATTCTATACAAATCGTTGTGCCAAGCATCATGCAGCGTAACAACCAAAAATACGCATTTACAGAAGGTAAGATTTTCATTACAACCATTGCGCAGAGACAGAATCCCGCTGATCAATAAGTGGAAACATTAATACTGACTGCTATCTAACTACTTCTATTTGCATATTTCGAGGCAAAATACCGTTTGTAATGAAAAAATAATGATCGCTTAGCAATAAAAGTGTTGAGACAAAACGGTCTTACCAAACTCCTAGCTTCACCGGTGCTCCAATCATATTTCAGCAATGAAGCCAATTAGACGAAGTGCGTTGGTAGGCGCAACCATTAGCAACAGCCTACGAAATATTCAACTGAAACAGCAAAAACGACCACGGATTTTCCAGCATTAGCAAGAATTTCCTAAAACACAGAGGATCACCCGAAATATGCATTTCCAAAGCACTAGAGTGCATTGGCTACATTTCAGATAAGCAAGTTAATGATTAAGAATCAATCAAATTGAAAAAGCATTGACGGTAGATTATTGTACTTAATTTAGATGGTTCTTATTATTACAACTCAAACTACTCATATGGTCATCCAGCAGTTGAAGCATTCACCTGAACCTATGCAGTTTATTAGTCAATCAAAATCATAACTTAAGCGCAACCATGCCTCAAATCTGTACATATTTATCGGACAAAGACGTTCTGGCGGCCACTACGGGCCAAGGTACCCCTAAGTAAACATCGAAAGCAAAAAAAATATTATAGGCGTTGATGAATTTTTGTGCTTAATGAATTTTTTAAAGATAGGTTTCTAACTTTATTACACACTACTTTCATTTTGCGTGAAAAATTAAGGAGGAAATATAATTCGTCTTGTTTACGTTTCTGTCGTTTTCACTGAATTATATATTATCGATGTGCTGTAAATAAGAGAGCACCAAATTCGAGTGCCAAGCTTTTGTCTTTAACACGTGTTTAGATAACCCCGTTTAATATTTTAATAACTTCCAGTAATTTCCAATGTGGTTCCGAATCACATTTATATGAAGCTGATAATTTTTTGTTTATTTTTTGTAATTAATGCTCTATATTTACCAAAGGTATTTTAAAATAAGCTATCATAAACTTATTACCATCGCTTGCAGGAACAAATAAATAAATTTTTTGCTAATGATATTGCGATTACTGCTTGAGTCCTCTCCATGTTTGGTATAATTAATCTTCCCAGGTCGCTTTCTTTATTAGTGGATCGATAATCCCGTAGAGGATACAAGTAAAAATGTGAATATAATGGTGCCTAGTTAGTACTGACATCAATATGTTCCATTCTATAATTTTCACTTATGTACACAACATGTATGCTCACTTGTTGATACAATGATCTGATCAAGAAATATTGTGCTATTCGTCAAGTGCTTCCAAAAAACTGCTTTTTATTCAGGTCTTTGTCGAAATTTATTTGAAAAAGGCTTTGCTTTTTGTAAAATTAAGGCAGCGGTCAAGGTCTGATGGTTAACAATTTTTATTAAAAAAATTCTTATGAAAGGTAGGGTCAAAATGGGTTGGAGTTGAAATCGGGCAGCATTTATTCCTCCAGATAGATAGGACTGAATAGAAGCAGCGATAATCTAAAAAACGTTTTAAATCTGTACATTATGATTTCATAAATTTTCGAACGAAGTAATCTTTGGTGATTTACTAACGATAAATTCACATTTTGACATGGTATCTCAGATTATCGTAAATATACGGTTCTGCGCAATTTAAAAAAAAAGCATCTGCTGTATATACATTTATCGCGAACGCCCCTGTTAATTTTTTCAGCCTGAAACTGTAAGCTATGCACACAATGTAACTTTAAAGGCAATAAAACGCTAACTTGCATTTTGTGTTTATACGAACTAATAATGTTTTTAAGGCCGATTAAGATAACTTGAACCCATAACGCGCCAACGTCTGTTTTGGGCTTCTCGAGTGGCGCATCGTTTCGCTGTCGCTGCTCTGCATCAGTTATGAGTGTTGTGCTGTTGCTCGTGTTCTTGTTCTACTTCATTAATATTGTTACTGGAGGTAAGTAGGTTGTTATTTCTCCTATTTAAAATGCGCTCAAATAATAATAGGAATTTTTTCGGTTTAAAATAGTGATAGGATCGCTTGTCTAATTTGGTGTAAACTGAATCAGTAATCTGAGTAGTCCTGGGGTGTTCTCGTGTTTTAAACTATAGTTTTCCTCGAAATAGCCTTGGATTTATGCTCACGACTACTGACAGTGTCATCAGTTCATGTTGCATCCTGACCTATGTTCTATTCATAATTCGAGGACTAATTATTATATGTTGAAATAATTCTTTCTTGTTTGACGCTTATGTTACTCACTGAGTGAGTTTTCCTTTGGCCAATTCTAACCAAATGAGTCGTAAGTGTTGAAATATTTACCAAAATCCTTTTTGTTTACACGTTTCTAAGTAACACTACTCATCAAACTCTAGGGACGAGCCGTTAGAATACCTGCTTGCCCTATTATATTTTATTCACGACGTTTGTAGGGATTTGAAACCGTACGACTTTCTAGATTTCTACGTCAACCCCAGTTTTAGAAACTTCCAAACTGAGTTTATCCCGTGCTTCCGCGTGCATGGATTTTCTCGATGTTATTATTATTAGCCATGGTGACTTGGCTTCTAAAAATTTCATACTTAAATTTTGCTTAACTCTATAACAGGCAGTATTTTCAATCGACAATATTACCAAATGACATGGCTCTTGGGAGTTGTACCCGCTCAACATATTGTACCCTTTCTCTGAAGCCGATTAATTAGACATGTCACGTTATCTAAGTCAGGCGCATCTAGTTGAACTTGGCTTCCATAATATCTGGGGAAAAACTGGAAGTCTGCACCGTTTGATCTCCCACAAACTGTAGATTCAGTATTTGCGACTACGTTGCATCGCACATCAACGAACTTTAAATTCACATTAATTCCAACCATTTTAAAGGTAACTATAACCCATGAGAATGTGTAACTCTCTCAAGTTAAATTTTGTTCTTATCCTTTTCACCACGGAACTTAGCATTATTTCTTTGTTGGTTTTCATACAGTTTGAACTTCTCACTTTTTCTGTAGCAAATGGAGTAGTTTCGCTAAACGAGTCATGTTTAAAATATTATACTTAGGATTTGATTATTGTCACAAATCGCTCTTGGAACCTTAAAGTCACGCGTTTTCGTCCTTTTAAGTGGCTCATATCTTTCTGAATTTTCAAGTATTTGACTTCCCTTTTTTGCAGAAACTTGCAGCGCAGGGTATTTCGGAGAAGATTGCTCTCTGCAGTGCAACTGTTTGGATAACAGTTGCAAGAATACCGTTGATAGTCCGGGTTGCATTACCGGTCTTTGTAGCCCCGGTTATACTGGTTTCCCTGCATGTCAAACACGTGAGTCTTTTTGTCTTCTAGTTAAATTCCGCTTGAAGAAACGCAATTTAGCAGCGAATACTGCTTATCATAGGCTCAATGTTTTCGGTAATTTTATAAACTGTTACGGCCCTTTTTTCTGGTCATTCAGAGTGTAAGTCGGGGTATTTCGGGCTGGAATGCGCTGAGAAATGCAGTTGCACTCCTGAAAACCGGTGCTCTCCCACCAACGGGAACTGCATCCCCCCCAACCGATGCACCCCCGACCGCATTGGTCCAGGCTGCAAAATTCGTAAGTCTCCTCCAACCCAATTACTTCCACTAGTTCGCTCTAAATTGAATACACCGCCTTTCCTTGGAGTCAACTGCACCTCTCTCGTGATATCCTGGTCGTTATTCAATGAGTCCATCGACTCCGGCGCTTCGGATGTGCGGAAATACCGGTGAGAGTCTTTTCCATCTAATTGCCTTGGCGTTTTCAGGATTGAGCTTCGTTCTCCCAATTCGGAGAAGTTTAGTGAATTGCAAATGGTACCACGAGAGAATTCTACTGATGGCGTGTTCCAAGTGACTGTTGCCGACGTGGCGCCAGGCGATGGCTACTGCGTCCGAATTGTGCCGATTTTCTTTCTCGACACAGGCGGCGGAGACGGCTACCTGGCAGATGGAATAGCCAGCCCTCCGTCGCGAAAGGTGTCCGTCGCTAAAGAGGGTAATGCCTATATGTGTGTGTGTGTCGTTCGTCTGACAAACATACCCCGCTGCCCAGTGTTGAAGTAGATCACACTCGGTTATTTCTAGTGACTGCATTGACTAAATTCTGCCGTTCGTATTGCCAGGCGCTGATGCAACCACATCTTTGTCTCCTTAGTAACAGACTCGGTAATGTGGCTGAAAAATCCTCATGTCGGTCATGGAAAGATAAAGCTTTGCGCCTTCGAAATCCTAGTTGTGTGACGGACGCGCAGTTCTTGATCTTCGACGGTACTCAACTAATCTTCCATTAAGGGCCTGGAGGTCCATTTTTATAAGACCGATGAGTAGTGCGTTGCCCGTATTCAGAATTCACTTCTTTTTCGGTAGCATATGCTTGTCGAACTTGCTTGTGGAACCTTTGAAGAAACTACGCATAAGGTTTTCCGAACTTCATTCTGGACCGGGAAAAAACAGTCTGTACCCTTTGCTGCAAACTAATTCCCACTATCCTGTATAAACTGCCTGCACCAATTAGCAGAAATCTTAATGAATTTTACCAATACTGATGTTGATATCGCTGGTGCATCACACAACTGAATGGCCGGTACGTGTCACCCGCATTTGTAGTCATTTTTGGGTGACTGCGCCCTAAACTGCAAATATCTTCATCCACGAAAATGCACACTCCTGCCCTCAATCGCGGCCCAATTCCCACAACGTGGTTGATGTCTGGGGTGGTTGGGGGGGGGGGAGCAGCAGACGAAAAATCGATAAAACCGATTCGGCACCAAAACGATTCTGGTTGAAAACTGGAGTACGAGCACTCAGAGAGAAGAGGGGTGCGAGCGCGATATGTGAAAAGCTCTCGTACTTCCGAAACCAATTTGCTTCGGTGAATGTGAAATTTCATCTGCAACAAGCCTGTGCGGCGCCTTCGTGAAACTGAAGACAACAGCGGTTCCAGTGGGTGGTGTGTTGAGGTGGTGGTGGTGGCGGTGGCGGTGGTTAAATGCACTTTACATTTATCCTCACAGATACGTTAGTGAAGTGATGGTATTCTACTCCATGCAGACGAAATAGGACGGAATGTGGGCAGGTAATACCCCTTCCCCTAACATTTGCATGATTGTCTAGACAGTGTATACTCATTCAAACTGGGGCGAGCGTTATCCTGCACTGCTTAGTTTCCGATTCGCCTTACTGTCTACACTTAGGGGGCGGCTCAGCACACCTAATGGCCGACCAAACCGCTAAGACCTTACAACCCCCGGATATCGCTTCAACCAACCAAACCAAACCTGTTAAACAAACATGCGTACCTTTCCACGTGGCTTGTGGTTAACTTTCCACAACTCGGTACCACCATGTGTTTCCAGATATTTGCCCTCGTGAGCTTCCGTAACCCCTCCCCTCACTAGCTGACTAAGACGATTAAAGTATTTGCCATCTAACAATAATCATATTTCCTTCAGCCCCTCTCGTTTTCAGTACTTTGGTGTATGCGTTTCAGCTTCCTAGAACTGACTTCCCATCACTAACAGAGGTTAAGGATCATCTTGTTTACTTGTTGGCACTTTTGGGGACTTGATTTTGGCCCCCGAGGGATGTTTGTTGAAGGCGACGACTAGGGCTATCGCGCATTAGTAAAACCGCGTCAAGGCAACAGCGATCTCGGTATGTTTCGAAACTGCTACACACGAACTTTGCTCCGTACTGCAGCCGTGTCCGTTCGAATGGACACTTCGGTTGTCAGGTGCGTTAAGAGCCTATACTTCGAAACGGCAATATACTCGGCATTCCGGGAATCGGGCAACAATTATTTTTGTACGCTGATTTCGTGGAGCCCGACCCCACCTCGGACTATCCAAGTCATTGAAGCCTGAGGTCTGAGATAAGAGGTATCAGGTGTCCTCAGTTGCGCCTGTCTGTTGCTCACAGTCGTGCACGCGAGGCGAGGGTGGGCTCAATCAGAGGAGGTGGGGTCCTTCTAGTTACGCAGATGTGTCTGGGCCATGTAAAGTGCAGGGAGCTGTCGATAGCCCGAGGCGGTAGTAGACGTGAATTGACGCGACTCACGACAATGCCTGCTCGACTTTTTGTCTTATTTACAAGCTTACCAACTGCCTTGGAACCAGTGCAGTTTAGGTGGTCGTGCAAAACTTGCGAGAACATGTACTCGGTCCTGGATTTATTGTAATGTCCCGTTTTGGCTTAGAAGTGGTTGTTGGCAACGTGAACTTCCACTGAACCACTTGCTACTAATTGGCGACAGCTGGAAACGAAATCAACGACATTGATATACTTTCTCCCGTGATCATTGACAGTAGAAATGGGACCATTTATTTTTCGCTCCATAAGTCACTACACTTGTGATGATGCCGGATGTTCCTGAACCGATGTCAGCGTCCAGTTGAAGAAATTGGTTGATGCTTGGGGAGGTGGGGGAGGGGTTGAACTTGCATTCATTGTATTTACGTTTTCTTTCCCAAGTCTGTCTGGGGGTTTTAAATGTGAGGTATTCTGCGTCGCTCCCTTTGAAGAGGAGGACGACGACCACTACCACGACCACAAGCAGCACATCCACGCCGACGACCCAGACAACGCCCACCACGAGCACACCCATCCCCACGACCACCTCCTCGCCAACTACCGGTGGTACGTAGTCGTTTGTGCGGGTTACCACCCCTGTCTCGCCTCCCACTACTCAAACCTTCTGCGTTTCATTCAGTTAGAACAAGGCCCTACTACTCCCACAGAGCCCGAACACCCACCAGGAAGTCCCTGCGTATCCACTCGTTGAGTTGTTCGTGTTTGTTCCATCCTTTCGTTGTCCTTCCGTTCCCACCTCTTTCTCTCTCAACTGTCGCTTTATGCGAATTGTTCTTATGCCCCCACTCAACCCACCCATGTCCAAACACGGTCGTACCAAATGCTGGATTGCAGGAACCGCTGTAATGTCCGGGTGTTGCGTGCATTGCGCTCACTTTCGCGCGTCAATGCGTTTCTTAAGTGAGACACCAAGACATTTCCTTGACGTTGCTAACAGAAGAACACTCATGGAAGATCTGCGATGACGACAGAGAAGAGGAGCAAGAGTTGATGCCCTGAGTGGAGTGTCATCACCACCCCAACCATTTTGGGGAATCTGTGATTCTGGTGGTGTTAGCCTCCGTGGCACCACCGACAAAATGCGTGTCCGATGGCCCGTGGGTCAAGGCTGAAATGCCTCGATTAATTTATTCACTACTCAGAGATAAACATGAACTTGATTGATGAGGTGTTATCTGTTGTTATGTGTCACTTAGTCCCACCTATCAATAAACTTTTCGTTAATTCCCCAAAAAAATCCCCAATTTGGACTCGAAAGCTTCGCCTAACCATCCTTCTGATTCCATGCAGTATCGAATGAAACCTCGCGTAAATTATTTGCTAGTGGTTGGAGCCAAGTCTGGAGAATGTGGCAGGATTGTTCAGTTTCAGCGTTTGTCATTTTGGCGGGACTTTGATGTGGGGCAAAAGTACGCCACAACACCGACAAGGTCGCTTTTCCTCTCCTTCCTGCCAACTATCCCGTCGATCTGACGACCTTGGAGGAATGTGGAATCCAGATCTTGGGCGACAGATCCGAATTTACCTTGCGAGTTTGAACTTCCACGAGCATTGTTAAAAGCGGTTAATTTATCTCGCATGGTGATGCTGCGGTTGCAGTTGATTTCTCTGAACCTGGTACCCTAAAACCCAGGGCCAGGGAGTTTCATGTACATCGAAGCGGTCGCTTACAGGTGGGCGTAAAGATTGCATTTTCTTTCTTCTTGGTAGTGTTGGATGGTGTTCCTTTTTTAATGACTGACTACACAGGCAGTTGTTGAAGTGTTGATGCGAACAGCCAGTAACCGCACGAGCTACCACTTGGACGGCGCCATTTTGTCCAACTGTGGCACCACGAACCCAAAATTAGCGTCGAAATCTGTCATTGTGGTTTTCTTGGAACTGTGGTTTGATTCAACCGGGCACCTTCCTTCTTGCATGCGGCTTTCACTTGTCGAATGTCACCAAAACCACACTTTCGTCATCAATATCATGCCCTCAAACTCGTTTACCTTCAAACTAAGTTATCGTGCATTCGCAATCGGTCGCTGTTACTACAACAGCAGTCTACTGCCACCCAATCAGCGTCCTCAGTATTCTACCTTTGCGGCACATTCGCCTCAACGTTTAAATGACTGATTTTTCCAGTGTATTCATTTGTGGTGCTTCTTTATTTAAGCTTAAAAGCCAGGGTCCAGGTTTTAATCACTTTAATTTCCGTCTGCATCCGAAAGGGTATCGGCTTAGCCAGTTCGTTGAACATTGGGCCATCGCCTCAATTTCGTTTTGTTAATTCTCCCAAACTTGTCCTCTTTATCTGTTCGGTTTGTTCACTTGATAGAATCTCGAGGGAGGCATTGTGTGTGTGTGTGATTCCGGCGATAAATGCCTTTTCTCTTCGCCTGCTAGGACGCTTGACCGGTCCGAGGAACTGCGTGCTGATAGGTCTTGGGAGGACCTGGGCGGTCTTCAAGTGGGACCGGGCGCTCAGTGCGTGCGGCCTGGGCGACCTGACGGGCTACGAGTTGAGGCTCAGCACAGCCGGAGGCGGCGGTGACAACGTCGTTGTGAAAAGCTACCCCAGCGACGCGTTCACTGCCGTCAAAGTGGTGGAGGATCTGGATGAAGGCACTGAATACAGAGTTCAGGTAGACCTGTCGCTCAATCCCCTATTGCTATGATCACCACTTTTACGTTAATCGGATATTCTTTCGATGCTCCTCTACGTTTATCCGTTTCCTTTGAACCAAGTTTGTCGAAGAGTGCTGGTATTTCAGTGGGTAATTTTTCAAAACAAAGTTACGCATTGTGAGGCACCTTTAAAACTCATTCGTAGATCGCATTCTCGATTTGATACTGGGTAATTAGTCGAAACCCTATCGTGAGTACATTGTTTGATCGAGTGTGTTCTGATGTGCGTTTCGTACCGGAAATAGCTCTCACTTCCTTTTTATTTTGTTACCCGACTTAGGAACATCTTCGGGACGGATCCATTATCTCCTATTAGATTCTCAATCATCCCCTAATCTGTGCTATTTTGGGTGGTTTTACCATTGTTTTGACCTTCTTTTTTTATTAACATCGTGAAATAGCTAATCAAACAACCAACTCACTGGAAGGTTATCTTTGTGTGCACACACGCACACGCAATCATGGCTTAAAAGGGTTAATCGTTTGTAGATTTTCGCGACCTACGAACGCGGCAGTGTGGCGTGCTCCGACACCTCGGAGGAGGCCTTCGAAACCTACTTGGAGGCTTCGGGATCTTCGCTCTTGCAGCTTCGAGTGCTGGAACGCCGTCACGATCGTTTCGTGGTTCGTCTTCTTGCTGATTCCCTGATCGGGCCGACCCGATTGTGGGTAGGTCGCTGTTGGGGTCGTGTTCCTCTGCCTTCTACCAGTGTTTACGCACTGTTGCGCTTATGCCTAATCCAAAGCAAATTGCCACCAAATGCTATCTCGATGACACCATGTGAATAAGTCATCTGTTGCTTATCATTATTCATTCTACTTGGTTAAGATGGCTCTTGGAAACTTCTATATATTAACTCCCTGCACCGCCAAAAATAATTTAATCAATGTTGATGTTGATTGATAGGTGACTGTGTTGCTAGGTATTGGAGGCGATTGCGCCCAAAAACAGCGGCTTGCTGTGGCCACAGCCTACAAGCCCAAAAAAGCAAATTTCTGTCCTCAATCACAACTAAATTTCCGCCAACTTACGACACACCCACAGCGTGTTTGATGTTTGGGGCGGGCGGGGGGGGAGCAGTCGAAGAAAAATCGATAAAAATAGATTTGTCACCGAACGAGGGTTTGTGTGGGGCTGAATCTGGTTAAAGTCTGGAACACGCTTGCTCAAGCCGCGCGCGTAATGTGTGAATTGCTTCAGTGCACGGATAATATCACCAGATCTCTTTAACAAGGTGAGGCGGCTTGTACGTAATCTAAGACATCAGCGATTCCAGTGGTCGGTGTTTGCGGTAGCAGTTAAAAATCCTTCCCAGTCATCCACACAGACAGGTTAATAAAGTGACCGGTTTCTACCCTCTGGGTGAATATGGGCGAGTAATGCCTCTGATCCTCGCAGTTCCGTGGTTGTGGGGATCTGAAATTTCTGGCATAGGACCACCCTCAGAACCCTGACAGTGATAGTTAGTTAAGTGGAGCAGTCACGAGTGTTCATTCTCCTGGAAGGTGATGCTTATCATCGTCGCCTAGACGGGGTTGTGAATCACAGACCCTCACTACAAGTTCGCGATTCGAAGTCACAAAAGTCTACGGTTGTGTTACCTGAACCCGATTGGACTGTGCTGCTCGCTGTGATAACATTTGATCGGTGCTGGATGAACGATACCAGTCAGCACATGTGTCCGACCCACAGCATTTTACATACTTTACTGAAGTGTCCAAATGTTAGTATTTTGTAGGATTCGAGGAAAGTTTAACGACCAAACACTGCCTCTCACCCTGGGTTGGTTTTTATGTCAACAGCAAAGTAAACGATTTCCCCGAGTCACGACTCCCTCCCTGCAGTTCTTGACAAGTCCAGTTTCCTGCTTGAAACACGCTTTCACCACAAGTGTCGGTTGCGCTGCATCATCGTTTGGGGTAGCTCGTACGGGCTGTCAATAAGACTCATCGAGGCCTCAACCACAAATTGGCGATTCTCCTGGCTGGAGCTTTTTTCTCTCACCGGGATCGTGAAATGCCGGTGAACCTCGCATTAATCTCGTTTGAGATTTTTACTTGACGCGAAATCTGGGTTAACTACCTGTGGTCCGGTCGGTAAATTCAACAATCGTACTCATATACTCATGGCTGTCTTGTGGCCATCGTTTGAATCGAACTTGAAAGACCTATGCCCTGTCTCAAATTAACGTCAGCGACTCCATCGGCCGTCTGTTTTTCGTATAACTCAATGCTGTAGCGCAACTTCATGGCCAATCCCCATTCTAGATTTGTCCCAATCGTCTGTCTGCGGTGCGGGGATTTCCTTTACCCAGCTTTGGGGTAATCAGGAAAGAAATACAAGTGGGAGATGCGTTAACAGTTGGGACCTTCAATGTGAAAGCCCTGCAGAGATTTATGCTGTCTTTCCACGATCACCTGCGCGCGCACGCGACTTAAAATCCAGCCCCACAAATGCAACACGATGCAAGTTATCAAAGTGTCATTTAAGTTTGCAGGATTATTCATTTTCCGAAATGGACGGTAAGAGTTCGGTTTATGAAACGACCAGGAAGAGCGTCGTCGTGGTAGTTTTGTGGTGGTGACAGGCGCGTCGGAATATGTGTTAATTAATGGTCGCCAATGAATGCCGAAAATGTCTTACTAAAGTCAAAACGTCATTCATAAGTGTTGCTATGACGTCGGTTTTTGTTTTGACTAAAAAGAAGCGACGAGCGTGGATGGATGTCGTTAGTTTGTCGATCCACCCAGATGAGATATTCAAGGCGATCGGGGCCCGTGAGGTGTTGACCACATCGCAATGAACCATAGCAAGATGCCTCGCAACATCACAGGGTATCTGACGTTTATAGATCTGTTAGATGATGTGGATGGGGAGTAGTGTTGGAGGGACGAGAAGGCAGTCGAGCAAGCACAAGTAAGTGATAATGTGCTGGTTTGTGGAAAGACCATCTTCGAAGAAACTTGGGCCTACGCAGATCGAGGCAGATGCACAAACAAAATCCTTCAGAAAGGCTCTGAATCCAGTTATTATCAACGATTGGATGGGAGGCCAAGATGAGCAGACGAGGGTTTTATACTGGGGGACAGTATGGATTCGTTTGTGAAGAGATAGAGCGATAGAGTGAACTTGAAATTAAACTCGGTCACGGATCGGGAGACCATTTATAGGTCCACGAGGAACCGTAGATAGGCTAATTTCAAGAGGCAAACGTGGGAGGCTGGCTCATTTGGGAGGCGATCGACGCCGTTGCCGGTGGCTGGTTTGTTCGACGAAAATCCATCGCCATCAGCTGATGTGGTTCCCGACTTCACTGTTGTTTTTCGCGAATTGGCCCTGCGCCACTTGATGTTGACAAGACGAGACGATGGATGACGAAGGTTACAATTTCCTCTCGCCTTTCCGTCAGTTTCATCAACTCGCGGTTCTTGAATCACCAGGTGGTGGAGGGTAGACAATGAAGGACTTCGGTGGTATGCCACTTTGACACTCCTCATTCACAACCAAAGCGAGTTTCCTTGTGTAGTTCCATGGTGATCTCGTTCTTGGCAACCAGAGGGACTGCAAGAGTCAGGATGTAAAAGAGACCACGGCATCCAGTGCAAAGAAACGGATCTTGAACCTCCGCGAAATATGGCCAACGAAGGCAAAGTGCTATGGTACGAATCCCTGTTGATGCGGAAAGTTAAAGAGAATTTGCAGACCATTGGCCAGCAGCGGTATCCTCACTATCGAAGCTGCTACGGAGGGGTCAGGAGCAGGTGGAGAAAGGAGTTGACGCAACCCGGCGGAATTCCCCAGACTCAATATGGCCGATCAGCGCAAGACACAGGGCTTCCCGACCTGCAATGAACAGTTCCTCGGGGCCGGAATGCTGCCTTTGTAGTCGGTGGAGTTTTGGTTAATGAAACAGGTTCCATCCGAGAAAAAATTGAGGGAGGACAACTTGGGCATGGTTGGCCGACAGCTCGTGGCTTCAAGGTTGATTTGGATCATGGTAGGAAATTCGATCTGGTAGTGGCGGCGATCCACTTCACGGAGGGCACGTATGGTCCAGGCGACAGCGCTGTTTTGTCGATTATCCAACAGCGAGTCGGAGGGCTGCTGTTTCGGGATCAAGTGCTTCATGTCTGTGGGCATCTTTAAGCAGTTGTGTCTCCGTCATCTCAAAACTGTCTTATCGAAGGCCCACTACGTTCTCTGCATGTTTAACAGGGTTGCGATCTCGAGGCGCGCTCCCTCCGCCCAACTCGCGTCACTTCCCCCACAACACCCCGCCGTCAGGTGTGCTTGCCGAGGCGGCGTGGGCGATGACGCATGCGGGTCCCGTGACTCGCCGCTGGCCACCGCGACTGTCCGCGTCCGGCAGCTGCGCTGTGGTCCGGCTTGCAGCCCCCAAGCCTGATCTCGCGGCCTACTTTGTGGTGTTGCACCTTTCAATCCCTCTAGACCTTTACCAGTCTGAGAGTGGTGGTCCTCTTGACTTAATACGCAATTTCAGGCAACATTATCCCAAGTCTCGAGCTCACAGTTTTTTTGCCTTGTCATGCGTCCTGTTTACAATTGATGAGCCTTATTAGTTACTAGGACAACTGCCAAGCATTTCAAATGAAACTACTCGCATCAAATTGCTCAGTCATTGTAGTCAATTTGAAAGGGAGCTTTTAAGCTACCCGATGGGTGGGTGTCCAGTACACGTGGAATATACGTCTTTATTGTATGCTGTCCAACTGATGCCACCTGGAGTGAACCGCTGTCTTGTATGTATGAGGACAGTTCAAGTAAATACCGTGTCAAATAGTGAAGGATCCTTTTCATTGATCTACGATCTTATCATTGGCCAAATTTCTTTACTTCATTGTCATTACTATAATTCGGGATTTATTTGCTTAAGGGGACTATGAAATGCCAGGGCATGTTATGAGTATTCATCTAATAGGGCTGAGCGAAAATGATGGCGGTAGTCGCAAATAAGTCGTCTTATGTGCGACTGCAACGTTGGTGGGCGGTTCCTGCACAAGGGTACCCCAACATACCTCCTTCATTGGGCACCGGTCCTCTTTGGCTCCAGGTTCAAGCCCCAATTATTGCTCTCAGTCTCTCTGTTTGGCGGGAGCGCTCGTTCGCGAAACTTACGTACAAGCCGTTTTACCCGAGTAGGTTGTAGAACTCGAGTTGAAACGGACGACGTGAGGGAGTGAGACAACTTTGCACTTCCCGAGGTTTTTTCCACTCTATTTGACGACCGCCTGTTGGATGCCATCTGCCCTCGGTGCAGAGTGGGTTGTACAGTGAAGTTGAAACGTTAATACCATTTCAGGCAGACGGCGCAGCTAGCGGCTTTGGGCGCTTGAAGGTGGTCTGTGGATTGGTTACTCGCTTAAAATAACCTTGCGCAGCACGTTTTGTGTTGGCTTCTTCTTCAGCGAGCTGACCTAGGAAGTAAAACAAAGAGGGAAGATCAGTCTAACATTGGCAAGCTTTGTGACTGTTCCACCGTATCGAACTAAGTTGAAACGCTGCCTTCGTTTCCAAAGACTAAGTTATCCATGAGTTTGCTGTGAGCCCATTTTTCTGATTTCATTGATGTTTTGCTCGACCTTTTCCAGGTGACTGCTTCCTCGGTGGAAAGCCGACTGCCGACGCCCGTCAGTTTGGGGGTAGCTTCGGTAGAATCGGCCACCTCTGTGATGCGCCAGTTCTCGTTCACTACGGACATCCACGCGGCCACTAAGTACCGCCTCTACGCCTGGGCTGCTCCGACTGATGGTGAGTTCGAGTAAACTCTAATCTCCGACAACAGCTTCCTCAGTTATCAAAAAGTGTGGCTTTGCTCACTTGAGGCACTCAGATGCTTCTGCACCTTGAGTGGTGAATGGATAGTACAAAGCGGCCAATTTGTAGCCGACAAGCGAAACTGACTGTGTCCGGTCCTAAAACATCGGAGCGCAATGCCCTGTCACTCGGCAGCACTTCATCCCGCTCTTATTCTCATTTACCTCATTAATAGAAAATGCTAGTTATCAAATGAAATCAAGCCTGTAACTGCAATTCGACAATTGCGTGATAGGAGAGGTTTTTTTGTCGTCATTTTTAAAAAAAATCTGTAGTCTATCAGGCTGATTACGTGTGAAAATGCATAAAAGCTCATGTAAACAACGCCTCTTCACTAAGCTTTTGTTACTTCGTATGAAACAGAAACCAGTGGGATCAAAAGCAGCTATGAACGTTTTAAAAGCGTATGCGTGTCATCCCAAAGCCCAAAATGTATTCGGATTATTCAATTTTTTGCCGTGAGTAAAAATTGCGTTGAGTATTGCCCATCGTCCGGCCTTGCCTCCTCAAAGCAACACACTACGTCAAAGCCGAGTTAATTTTTTTAGAGATTTGTCTAGATCTTCGCATTCTGGTATTATGGTGCTTTCTTATCGGATCCGCCTCTACCGAGCATTGAACACGCGTTTTTAGCTTTGTGGGATGAGTGATTGTATACCGTCAATATACTAATCTATACTAATATACTAATCGATCGATAATGCGTACGCGCGCAGTTTTCCCTTATTTCAAGAGCGTATTTGCGTTTTATTCAAACTCACCACGTAGGTGACCAGTTCCAAGGGGTAACTGCAGAACTGTGGACTTTGCCAAAGCCCTTCACGACTTCTCCGAACTTCGTGATCCATCCGCCATCGTTTGTGGAGTTGTTGGATTACACCGCCAAGCTCTGGTACCCCAGCATCTCAGGCTATGTCGGTGGACCCATCACCGACTACTACTTGGCCGTTAGTCCGGGTCGCGTAGCCCCACAGACAAATCCGGTTGTCAAGGCGTCGCGAAATATTTTGGGTTGGTTTCCTCATTATTCGTCTGTTCTCTAAACTAGAGAGAGAGGATTTTTGTGCATTAATGTTAACACCAAACTCTGTCGTTCATGCGGGAAGGCTTCGACTCTTCTCCAAACCTCGTAGCAAATGAATGTGCACTGATCTCGACTGGCTTGAGAGAAACTATCACGGAACAGCACTTAACTCGGTGGTATATCAAACAAAAGCACTCAATTGGCTACACGCTAGTTCCCTCCACGTACAAACCCCTAATCTCATGATTTCCTGCCGTTGGCTAGCCAAGTCTTAACCACACACTTGAATACGCGTTGTTCTTAGGTATAAAATGTTTTGACGCCATTAGTTGGACCACATTTTCTTCGGTTTATTCAAATGCCGCTTTTAGTTCGTATGCTTATCGCTCCGTGGGCAGCCAATTATTAGATGTTGCGGATGCAAATACAACGATACAAAAATCCCTGAGGTTATTTACTTTGCGAAATGCACACTTTTACCGTAACTTACCTCTCGCCTAGACTTGACGTCCAGTTGACTAAATTTCGCTTGAAACAACGTCTTTTGTGTCTCGCTAAGCGGGAATAGCCATTATTTGAAGGTCACTACTCATTTTTCGGCGTCTTTATATGGTTTTGTATTAGAGAAAATGCTTGTCAGACAGTGGATGCCTGACCCTTCTCCGTGCTTGCAGCTCCTGACTTCAATTTACGAGACACGCAGTGCCAGGTTTTGTGTGATTTTCTTTTCAAGGTAATCAAACAGTCATCAGGAGTCGCCTCTCGTTGCCACCGACTGCTACGATTGCCTTTCACTCGCGAGCCCCTCCCAATCAGCCCATCGTGATCGGAGACGGCGTGGTCGTTCGCGTGTGGCCAGCGGTCTCGCTGCCCCTTGGCCTCTTTGCCGATCCCCCCCTCGCGCCCGACACCGAGTACACGCTCTTCGTGGCGGTCGCGTCGAGCCTCGACGAGGGTGACGGCATCCTGTCGCCGGACTGCGCGGTCTCGCCTGCCAACGTGACCCATTTCCGCACCGCAGCCCTTCGCTCTAGAGCACCGTCGAGAGCAGCTGTCACGAGCATCGCGGTTGCTGTCCTCCTACTTGTCTTCGTCATTTTATCTGCGATGGGTTGGTGTCTAATGAGGCATACGGGTGTCTTGAAGAAGGTGGGTCCCGGTTGCCGTGGTATGAATTCGTTTTTGTACGTGTTGTTTCTACATGAATAGGTGCAGCCACTGGTGACTTGTATGACCGAAGACCATGCGGCTGCCATCATTTATTTTTCAGCTCCTTTTGCTGCCTGACCTTTTAATTGCCCTTTTCGCATCAAAAGCACTAAACACCGTGTTGGTTTAGCAGGACCCTAGTATCCTCAAGTTCGCATTCACTGCACCATTCGTTTCTTGTTTGTGCTTCAAACCTCGGGCAAAATCATCCCCCAGTTCTAACATGATTTCATTAGTACCTGAAGCGTGCGTTGTCGCTATGGCAACCCATGGGATTTTTCGACACGCATAGGCTCTGATCGGTGCCGTTAGCTTTGCTGATCGAATAGCCCAGCCCCCACTAATGTTTTTGCTCATTTGGCACGCCAGAGTCATCATAACTGCTGATGATACGTAAGCTCGAACCAAACGCCTGTCTTTTGTCGTTGCGATCATGAGAAAATCTTTTGGAGGGGAGTTTGTAAGCCTGCTGTTACGTCTTCTGTCGGTACATGGGGAGCAGGCAAATCCTATTCGTGATCCCGACATTTTTCAACCGTACAACGTACATTTACTTGATACTTCGTTTGTTATGTACTTTTCCCCATGCTTTGTTCTGAAATAGGCTCAAGTTGCCCTTCTGGAAGTACTTTGTAGGTACGTCATTTGTGTTGTTCATGAGGTGTCTGCATGCCTACTCACTCAAAGCATGCGTATTCCAGACTCGCAAGTTTTGCCTTCCGGTGGTCACAAGTGCATTTTTTTCACAAGTTCTGCATGGCATGCCTCTGTACCAGTGGTAATAAGCGTTTATTATTATTTATTATAAAGGTATCCAAGAAATTTCTCGTCATTAGGGCACATTCTCCACAAAACATTTGTGTACGGTCAGCCCATTTTCTGTGAAAGACCAGTGCCAATTCCTGTTTAGTCGTTGGAGTTGGTTTGTTCGTGTTTGCGACTTGAGTTGAGCGCATGCGTTGTCTTGCTCATAAACTCTTAAGGCCTACTCTACAGAATGGCGGAACTGGACAAAGCCTAAACTGTGGGATTCGAACAACCCCGATTTTTTTTACCTTGTGATCGATCTGTTCAAGCGACTATAAGGGGTATCAACAAACGCGCTAGTACGTCTGGCGAGTGGGGGAGCGGTATGTAAATGCCTGAAGTTTGGTGACAGCTCGGGACGGGACCGGAGAACACAATCGCTTGGGCATGCTGTCGTGTCCTTGTGTGCGTGTGTGCGCCTTTTGTGAGAACTTGTGTACACAGCCTCCGAGAGGTGAGGATAAGGCGCATGGCCCGGCCAACTTGCGGCAAACGTGTTCAGACAAGCCTCCACTGCAAGTCCGCCGCAAGGCCACGACAACTCAACGTGCAAATCATCACTGCCCCCACGCTACCCCTACGTGTTTTCTAGCCGTTTCCCTTTAGAGAAACACCAGGAGTTTGTTGGTATCTTACCGCTTGGAGAATCACTGTCAGCAAATGTGTATACCATTTAACTGGTTGCTTCAATCTAACGCATTTGAGTACCCGCCTTCTTCAATTGCTTTGCTATCCAGCCCAAACACTATTCCCTAAATCTGAGACCCAAGCGGTGTCCCAGTGGAGCCTTAACAAAGCCGGGATTTGGAGATAGCATGTCAGTTTTGCCGAAGTCTTACGGGGCATGGAGTTTTCCCCTCAACCTTCGTGACCCTCGCTTTCTTGTCATCGATCCAGAAAGGGGACCCGATAACACCTTACTTGGCACAAAGTGTCTGCGCGAAATCGCAGATTCATTTCTTCGTGAGTATAACAGGTAGTCCGAGTGTAGTTAAACGTGTGCTCCTCTGCGACGGAAATAGTCCATAGCATAATTTTGCAGCTTGCCCGTGAACAAAGCGCTCCCACAATCACACGCCAACAAAGCGGTGAACCGCGGCAAGAATCGGTCGAGGGAGGCCCTGCCATACGACCACAACCGCGTCAAACTGAAGAGAAGCATGAATAGTCCAGAAACCGACTACATCAACGCCAGCTTCGTCGACAGTTATATGCGCAGGAAGGCGTACATAGCCGCACAGAGCCCCTTCAATGCGACCACCGCCTGCGATTTCTGGACTATGATAGTCCAGTGCAATATCTCCCAGATCGTCTTTTTGACTAATCAGATTGAAGACGGCGCGGTTCGATGCACCAAGTATTGGCCCGATGTAAGCCAACCTAATTTCTTGTTAACCACTAGGAAGTTGAATGGTCTTGTGGGTTTAGTAGGTTTGTGTCGTCTTCTAGGTCGATAAAGCGGATATATTCAGTGATAAGCGCCATCCAGCCTCTGAACGTCAGTACGACTCAATCATGGTCCAAGCCCTGGACGTCGTGGAGTATGCTCACTTCAGTGTCCGAAGATTCCAAGTTACCGACCTGAATGCGGGAGCAACACACTTTGTCATCCAGTACCACTACCATAGTTGGTTTGCCAAGTCGAATGCTGCCAGTTCGATGTTCGACTCCTACGGCAAGGTAACGGCGCTTGGATCAACGGACAGGGTCTCAGCTGAGTTGTCCGAGAGAGATGCCGGTTTCGACCATTTAGCCTTCATCGACTTCTACTTCCACGTAAAAATGGCCACGCGTTTGGAAGATGGACCAATTTTGGTGCACTGTGAAGACGGTGCGTCTTTAACATGCCCACCTTGCTATCATGAGTAGTTTGTGATTTTCTGCAGTTTAGTTTACACAAAGTTATAAGAGAACTTATCCGCTGGGAACTACGTTTCCCCGGCTAAATATAGTCCGCATTAAATGAAATTTGGCCCCTTAATTGAGCGAGGTTATGTTGCCAGTCCTTCAACCAAACAAGTCATAACATTTGTACGAAGGCAATGTCGATAGGTGCACCTATTCATTCGCAAAATATGATGTTTTAACTATGCTGCAAACGTTATTACCAATCTACAACTAGAATGTCACTGAAGCCTGCAGAAGTCTATATCTATTTCTATTCAATGCATAAACAGAGGACTATGTCAATAGGGTTTTCTGTTGTAACGTTTGTATAAAGGGCGAACGTTGGAGTTACCCAGATATTTCAAACAAGATAAATTCCTTGACTCACACGAATAAGCCACCATTAATCTGAGCTGCTGTTGACGCTTGTTTGGTCTTCAGTGGCGCGTCGTGGCCCCACAAGTGCCTCATGTTCCCTCGCAGATTCCTTAGCGTAAGTTTTACTGTTAACACCGTTGCAGACCTGGCCATCTAGTGCTTGTCGCTCCATTAGGTACTTGCATTTAGCCTGGCACACGATACGTCCAGACCCGATGAGGCTTCTTTATTAACTGCGTGAATTTACGTTGGTTTTGCCTATGCTTTAGGTGTTTCGCGTACATCGGTGTTCGTAGCCTTTGACACTCTATTCCAGCAACTGATGCACGAGCACGCAGTTACGGTTCCACGAGTTTGCAGCAGCCTGCGTCGTGCCAGACCAAACATGATTCCCACACCGAGGCACTTCGCCGTGCTCTACGACCTGCTCTTCGAGGCGGGCATCGCGGGGCACTCGCTCGTCGACTTGGACGTCCGCTCCGCGCTGAAGACGGTGGGTTCCTTTCCCCCTTTTTCTACTCCACTTTCAGTCGCATCATTCTTTGACCTTGATCTCTTGGGTTTCAACCTATCACGTCATCGTCTTCTAGGTTTGTCTTTGTACTGATTCTCTTTTCTCTCGTTTTCCGCCAAGATTTACCAATGTGTTCGCACACAACGAATCCTAGTTCACTAGATTATTTATTGTAAAAAACTTGGAAATTTGCCTTTGAGTGATCCACCCATGTCTCCGTGTAGGCCGTGAATTAGCCAAATATGCTTTTTGCCTCACAAAGAATCTCTACCAGAAAAGTCCACGTTGGTAATGCCTATCTCCCCTAGACGTTATTTATGATCGCATTATTAAAGCCATCGGTAGCTTCACCCTTAAGAGGACATTTCATAGCCAAAAATCAAAATTTGTAATTGATCAACTTAAACTTCAGACATGACTTTTCAGCCCATCTTTGTAATGGCCTTGAAGGGACCTCATAATTGTCGACCCGCTGCTGTCTCAGTGACATTTTGTGATTCCTTTGAATGCCTCCTCGTTAAGCCTCTTCCCATTAAAACATGCAAATTGCTATTAATCTTTAAGCCCACTCTATCGTAAACGCTGTCGTGCACCCGCATTCCACCCTTTCTGCATTCAAGTTCTCCAATTTGCGCAGTGATCTAATTCTGATATTTCATTTTGGTTTATCCGGGATCTTTTTTAGCACCTCTCCTGTAGTCAAATCAAAACTTTCGCTCACAATTTCATGGCCTCACCTCTAGTCATTAATTGATGGGTACATGTCATTGTCACCGTGATTAACGAATCTTGCACCTGCTTGCATGAAAAAAATGCTAACAAGGCAACCTCGTCCAGCACTTTGCTTTCAAGTCGGGTTCTTGCCGTAACCGTGGCGGCTCAAAACTGTAGGGCACGCGTCACTCCACTCCTTCATGGTATCACCAATTCTCCTTGCTTTTTCCAGCTTAGTCAAAGGAACGTGGCCGCTGGTTTCACCTACCTCACCGAGCAGTGGTACCTCCTCCACAACTACACACCTTCCTGCTCGCGTAAAACCGAAGTGATCGACGCCCTCTCGCCCATAAATACGCAGAAGAATCGTTATCCGAACTTGCTCGACTTCCTGCCCCCCGATTGCTTCCGTCCTAGGATCCCTCCGGGCTACAACTCCGTCGAAGGCACCAGTGATTACGTGAATGCGGTCTACGTGGACGGTCTGGCTGTTAAGGAGGATCTAATTCTCACACAAACTCCGATGCCCAATACGGTTGAGGCCTTTTGGACACTCGTATTTGAAGAAAGGGTGGGTTTTTAAAACTATATTGTGGTGAATTGTGCTAATTCGTGTCTATCACCTCCACCGATCCATATCGTGGTTTCTTGATCATCCTGTTCACCTTACTTTCCTGCATACAACTGCGTAATTTATCGACCACACACCTCTTATCTTATCTGTTGCCCAACCTCTACTCTTAAACCCCACCAGCAGGCGTTGTTCCGCCTTGTACACGTCTGAGGCCTCGCGATCGCTTACAAGGAACACAATTTGGATGAGCTGCCTGTAGACGGCTAGGTTAATATGCTTCACATTCACCCCGAGGGGTGTCTGTGGGTCGTACCCAGGCTTCAGTCGAATGGGGCAACCTGAAGCCATCTGCTGGGTGGCCGCAGGCTTGGAGATTTCGATTTCAAAAACAGCTGGATTTGCTTAGCCATACAGATGCACTGACCTGAAAGCACTAACTGAGCTATCACCAGATTCGAACGTGGTGCAGCAGCGTTCATAATCTGTCTTTGCTTCATGTACTGGGGGTATTTTATGCGCTGCTTGATGTCGCGGTCACTTGCATCCTTTTTTTTATTACTCAGGTTACGTGTATTGTGGACATGGAGCCCTATGGCTATGGGTCCGATAACGCTGTCTGTTATTGGCCGACGTCTACCGAGGACAGTCTTCTCTCCACAGAACTCGAGGAACCCATCAACACCTTCACATTCTTCCCTGCCCAGGACACCGATAACATTGTCGATAGTGATGAAGAAGCATCTATTCCACGAGATGTCGGTGCCTGGTTCCAAGTGGCAGGGTTCCAGCTGGCCCAGGTGGGCAAGTTGACCGCCGTTAGGCGGCCAGGGTGTTCGGAGACGGGAAGACGTGTCGTGTTCAAGCGACAGATGCTAATACGACGCATCTTGTCCCAGACGTCACCTGCAGGACGAAGACGTGCCGAGGTCCGCACAGTAAACATTTTCCACTTCAGAGCCAACTGGAAGCAGGGAGGTCAGGTGTGTTTGTGGTTTGTGACTCTTCAATCCCTTATACATATTACACTATTTTTTTTTCATTAAGCGAGTCATTCACGGATTAGTGTTATTCCTGGATTTGGTTTTTTTCTGTCATCTCACCACACCCCCGCCTAATCCTCGTTTCGGAGTTTATCCCGGCAAATGAAACTTAGAAGCAGCTAGGTGTTGGTTGATCTCCAGCAGCTTCGTAAATTCTATGCACCATTTTGCTTCTTTTTCCATGCAAAAATTATTCAACCAACAAGAATCCGAGTATTTCAGCTAAAAAGAGTCGTCCACATTGAGAGAAGCATATTTAATATTCCAGTTATGTAAAGATGTATGCTAATGTCATTAATGTTGTTTCTAAATGCCACACATCGATCCGCCCTGTAAGTTTGACACCCCTCCAGTTGGCCTCGTTCCTGCCCCCTAGTTCCCTCTCACCTCTAGAACCCCTATTGCCTAGTGGGTTAGTAAACTGCTTTTGGAACTACCCTTTCTTATGATATCCTTGCGCTGCTCCTCACGTTTGTTCACGGATGGATGTTTTCGTTCACTGTGGATGGCTTGGTTCACTTCTTTCCATCGCTTTGTGATGGCTGAAGCTGCCTCTCAATAATTACTTAACAAATGGCATTATTTTTGCAGGCAAATTCAGACACCTGCCTACTGCTTGCTTGTAGCTTTTGATGGAAATTAGTCCCTTTTGATGGTTGCCTGGAGCATCCCGCATTTAAGCCACAATTGAGGATGTCTCTTCATGGAAAGTCCTCATCCTACGATGACAAGTGTCTCACCCTGGCACGTTTGCGCCTTCCAAAGTGATTATTGCGCCCATTCGATGATCTTAAGCCGACTGAAACCGACCTAATCTAACGTCATCGATGTATTGGCTGCTGCCACTATGGCGTATTAAGGGATCCCAATAAAACTTCTGTCCCGGCCTCGCCGTAACTTTCAACAGCTCTCGAAGTCAGTCTTAGCGGAAGGATTAAGCCTCGGAAATGAGAATCTGAAAATTTAGCGACTGTTTCAGAACGTTCTGTCATCTTTTGCCCGATCCCAAGTCAATCTAAATCGGCACATCAACATCATTGACTTATTTTTAGGTACCTTCGAGAGCCCATTTTCTGCAACTCCTGGAGGTTTTCTCCATTGATCGAGGGTTGGGGCCGGCAGTGGTTCACTGTCTAGATGGGGCAACACGAAGTGGACTGTTTGTAGCCAATCACCTTCTGGCAGAGAAAATAACGCGAGATCACTTCGTGGACCTCTTCCACACCCTGAAGTCCCTCAAACTCCGCCGACGCGCTGTCATCGGTTCAGTAGTGAGTCAATGAACATATTATGTAGGGTTGTGCTTTTCAGAAAGCCTATACAGCGCTAGAAAATGCAATGGCTTTGTTCAGATCCAGAATATTGTGCTTCTAAATGGGTAAATCCTGTAACTCACAATTTGGATCAAAATGGGTGTCGGTGAGTGTAACCAGGTTTTGGAGAGCAGATGGCAGTGAAGTTATGTTGCGCTCTTACAATTTTGTATTCAATTTTGTGTGCTTAAATGTCCCCGTTGAGTTTTGTTATCCAATCCTATCCGAGGTAGGTCTCAAATTGAGGCGTAAAATAAAATCCGATTAGATGCTTAAATCTTGGGATGTTTAATTATTGTTTGGATTAGTGGGAGGGCTTGAATAAGTGCGGCTATTTTTTCCCTTATAGTGTCAGTTGCGGTTTACTTATCGCGTCCTGGTAGATTGGGTCGATATGGTGGTGAATAAGCCACTTGCAACGCAAAAAACAGCCTACCCTATGTCACTTCTACGTGACTCCATGCCGACCCCACGAGGCAGTCGCCTAGGCGCCACCAATCGCAGTGTTTTCTCCAGCCGTGTCTCACTTGATTCAACTTACACCATGTGCGGCGACGCAAATGCGAGTAATAGCTTTAATGAAGAAGGTGAAGACCGGGATGCTTCTCCACCCCGAAGTGTCGTCGTGCTCTACCGATACTTCAATGATGAATTATCGCGAATTGTGAAGAATAGAACAGCCCTGCCCGCTACTCTAGACTCTAGCGGAAATCAACCGAACCGATCAAGAAGGGAGTAGCTACCAGCTTAATTAGATTGAAGCCCCGGGTGTTTCCATTCACCAAGGGAGAAACTTTTATAGCACATTTCTTTTAAAAGAAATTTTGTGGCTAGATTAATATAATACTTTTATCAAGTTTTTTTCCTGTTAAAGGGTGACTCGGAGGTGTGGGTGAAGGCTTAATTTCGTAAAAAAAGAAGGTCAGACAACCTTCTCCATGCCAAGAATAGTGAGTGCTGTGGTGGGCATTAGAGTCCGGTGGCTGAGCACCCGAGTTTTCTTGACCTCAATACGGGCGGCATGTTGGTATATTTCACTTTCATGGTTTTAAAGGATCCACCTGTTATATCGAGAGGGGTCACCAGACGGATAACGATTACGACGCAATACGGTATGAATTCTACATATCTGATTGCTAAAAGCGTGGGCCCTTAATGTCGCAGCATAGATCAGCGTTCTTTGACTTGTTTTTATGCATGATCATTTTCTATCCGACTAAGTTCGAGCAACGGGGCGCAATTTGGGAAATTCTCGAGTTAGTGGTTTAAGACCGTGGCAGTATTGGAAGGTAATTTTTTACAAAGAAAGTTGAAAAAATTTCTGGTATTATAAATAATTCTGCTAGGAAATCACGTGAGTTAAAACGTGCTGCTCACTCGAAACCACCAGTTAATTTGCATCAATATGTTACTCATATATTCAATAAATATGCACATTAAAACTGATGAACACTGTTTAATTTCGGAGGCCGTGAGGCCTACACAAAATTACATTCTCCTATCTTAAAACAGAAAAGCTACTGCTGAAGGAAATGATCCTCATCGACACTAAACTGGGAAGATTAGACCGATGAGAGAACACCTAAAACAATTGTACAAATACAGAATCATCTACCAAAAAAAAATTCGATACTATCCTGATGTGTTCAGGTACGCTTATATGAAAAAAATGTAGAATTTCAATAATGTTCCCTTTAAGAATGAATGGTCAATTTTGATGAATATGTACATTTAATTATTTTTAGTCTATCGTCTAGCAAAACTTTTATACTGCTTATTCATACACTGATTTAAATTTTTAATTAGGTTTACAGCTAGTTAATTGGACTTATGATACTTGAGTAACGGATTCATTGAACTATTTGTTTCTATCAATTCGATTGTTATCACTTTTTCGAAATCATGGTGCGAAAGCTTAAGCATCATGAGAAGAAACTTTTAAAGAAATTCGACTTTATCAACTGGTCCGCTGACAACAATCTTCACGAGCTCAAAATAATTAAAAGATTTCACATCCAAAAAAGGGAAGATTACACACTGTAAGTATAGATAGTTTGATAAACTGAATCAAAGTTACAACAAGCTCTCTCGAAACATTCGGGATATAGCGGAGAAACTGAAAGATATTGACGAGAAGGATCCATGGCGAGCGGAAATGACAAGTATGCTCTTAGCGAAATTGTAAGAATCTTTCATTAATATTTCGTCTTCTCAGACATAACCTTGGTCTAATCCCGACTAAATCGTCCTTGAAATTGGCTTCCAAAGTTAGTGCATCGTCATTCTGTAGAAGACGACTGCCAGTTGTAATGGTTCGTGCACACCTTGCGGAAACCATCAAGGCTGCTGTTACATTCATTGAACAGGGACATATCAGAGTTGGCCCCGACACAATTCGTGATCCTGCATTTTTGGTAACCAGGCAAGTATTCTTGAGTAGCAAAATGCGTTTATTCTTAGAAATAATGTTAATTTGTATCCACTTGCTATTCCGAAGTTGGTTTGGTAGCTAATTCCGGTGTTGTGCAACTAGGTCGCTCAATTATTATTACTTCCAGGCACGTCTGATCAAAACCACGACATAAACCAATACTATGAAACATCAACACCATGCTTTCGGAAAGCAGGCTTTTTTACGGTTCAATTGCCACTGTGATTAGCGAATCTACGTGACCTCTCCACCCGATAAAACTAGTTCCCGGCAGCTAAGTTTCTTTCAATGATTTAATTTGATGTTTAGAATACCTTATGGTGATGCTGAAGGCAAACCTTATAACGTAGTGATTTACAAGACTCATCAGATACCATTCACAGAAACCGATTTTTCGTTTTTCTATAGTGAATTCTACGGGTGGTCTATAAAAAATCTAATTATGCACAACAACTGTCCTCGAATCAAGGTGCCGACCGTCGATCCTAATTGTCCAGCTCCTGTTCTGTCTTTTAGGCCAATGGAAGATTATGTAACATGGGCACCAGGCTCTAACATCAAGAAGAACCTTCAGAAATACAAAGGCATGGTTGATGATTTTGACGACGAATAATTACCCAGCCAACCCTTGTTCATACTTTGTAAATACATCTTTTAAATCAGATATTGCCTAGTTGATTTCTGAGGTACAGAGATTATGCACAACGCAACTAGTTATTCATTTGGGGTATTTTAATTGATGATACAAAACAGGTAGCGGAAATATCATCCTTGCTCCATGGCAACTGCAGCTTGCGCTTGGATAGATCCCCATACGCCTTCTTTGACGTACGTGTCGACCTGTTGTGATGTTATGTCGTCCATCATGGGCCATTGGGGACAGGCCCCATTCCAGCGTTGTTGTGTCTTTTGGCACTGACTGACAACAGCAAATTTGGCCGGTTGTAGGCTTGGATCGTCGGTGGCTGTGCCAAGCTCTGTGCTTCGATTAAGAAGATATTCAATAAATCCTGGCTGCTCAACAAATAACGTGATTCCCCATGGCTGAAATGTAGGAAACAGGTTAGGGTACGCAGCCACCAAGTTACTGGTGCGTATGGTGCTTAGTGTACGTGCAAAAGTGTTAGTTGTGCGAGGTTAGTATTTAATTAGGCGACCTAACTGCGCTCCATGCAACTTACTCCAGTCGCGATGGCTTCGAGAAGCTGGAACGCACCCAAACGGACGTCACGGAAGGGTTGTCTTGCGAGGTTCCAAATACGAACAAGGAGGCGAGCGGGTGACACAGGATTGCTAATTTTGGTGAACCAGTTCCATGTTACCTGAGCGGCGGGCAGAATATCACTAACTTCACCGCTGCGAGGTAGGCGCAAAAGGTCAGACATGATGCTAAGGATCCGAGGAAGTAGTTCCGTCGACGAATTCTGTATCAGGCCACTTAATTTCGATAACGTTAGAGCAAGACAACCGTCGGGTTCTATAAATTATTAGCATGATTTTAACAAAGAAATATTTGTCAATCGAAATCAGGAGGTCATTCTTACCTAGGTGAGGGGCAACAGCCATTTTTCCATCAGATGTCCTGCAAATAAAAGATATGGCCTCCAAAGCCGCTAGCAAAATGGTCGGATTAGGCGAGGAAAGGGAAATTGAGAGGCGACTTGTAAGGGGAGACAAAGTAGACGAGGTACCCAAGAATCGAAGTGGTTCGCTTGCAGCCAACGCTCCAAAGAAAGTAAGATACCCTAATGGGAGTCAAAACTCTGACCCTGAGCAGTTGCAAAATATATGAATGGGTCAGTAACTACTTGAACCATGCTTACCCGGTAAAACCAAGTCGCACAGAGGATTTTCTTCTATGGACTGAAGAGTTGACAATAATGCTGTAATCGTTCCCTTCGACTGGAGGAATGAGCGACCTTCTTGAAAAGTGACTAACAACTTCAACACAGCGATGGAGTTAAGTTGTAGCAGAGGATCATCCTTTTGAAAAATAGTGAACAGTGGATCGAAGAATGCGGACTCAACCATTGTGTCAAAAGTTTCCACTCGTGCAGCAGCAATTTCTGCAAAAAGCTAATTTAATATCTAATTTATTAGGAGTCAATATTTACTTCTGACACTCTTATAATCTGTTCGTCATTATTTGTTGCGATAAAATTATTCTTCACACTTGGATTGCCTAGAAGTATCTTGACACCTTGAGGATGAAACACGCCTTAAACGATGAATAAAGAAAGCGCATGAGTACCAAAGGTTTTAATAAATGATAGTGAGGACGAGGCATTTTCAATTTCCTCCTGTGTGGCTATTTTGCTGATCTCAATCAACAGTTTCTCAGGTATACACAAGTCCTCAGTGCTCGTATTTTTTACGCCTTCTTCAAGCTAAACAAATAAGGCAAAATCCACCATACTCTCGAAATAATAAAATCCCTAAGAAGGTGGTTTCTTGACGAGATGGCGTCAAATAACTCAGATTCATGTGAGTGAACAAATTCAGTCAAATGGAAGGTTGAAAAAATAACCGAGGCCATACTTAAAGCCAAATCAGAAAGAACACTCAACATAGAACGTAAATGGTAGATCAAACCTGTTACTAAGGTCCATTTGACCAAATATATCCAGAAGGCCATGACTTGACACAGCCGTTTGGAGTTCTGCTTTAGACATATTTCTGAGAATAATATTAAGTTTTTCATAGTCTTGCACCGACCCAGGTTGGCGCGACACCCTGTCAATAATTTCACTAGCTGATTCCTGGAGTTGAGTCATTATTTACTGGTGTGGTGTGGCGTCGTATCAGGGCGCAGACATGTTGGACCACCTGGCCTCAGCCAATCCCGTGTCTT